ATAGCTGAAACATATATTTTATCTTTTAAACATGTTCTTAATATCGGATTATCCAGTGTTGTATTTTATGACAAGATTCATCGAGACGAACACGACACCAATGAATGACTGGGCTCCACAATCTCGTGTGCCTGTATGTCGTCCTTGCTATGTCAGGGTTAAGGGGACTACTTCAAGATGTTCTATGTCATCGGCCTAGTGTCTATTTCCAGTCAAGGTCTAGACGTTGAAATTAGTGCCCGAGATATTTTGCAAGGAGGTATATGCATTACCTGTTTGATTTATATAACCTTACAATGTCAGTGAACAGACAAACACAGATACTTGAAAGACTTGAATCAGGTTTGATGTCTGCCAATTGGTCGAGTCTAGTCCTACTATAAATGATCGTCATATTGTCATATGACCTTTAATCCAGTAAAAAAGACTCTTGCGTATTCGAAATTATCATCATATCGATATGTCACTCTAGCCCTTTCAGTCGCGAACGAATACTGCCACCTGCTTAAAAATGTACGACGATCGATGGAGAATGAGAAAAACTTGGAAGATATATTAGTTTAAAAGCTACGTCTCCAATCGATACCAACTTATATTTTGGTACAAAGAAGCTGTATACAGTTATCCTCAAAAGGAAACCAATAATGGCAAAAATCACTAGGTACAGCTTTTACTCCAATCGACATAACTGTCGTCATGGTTGGAATAACAAAATTTATGCAAAACAAACAAACCTCAGTTTTTCTATTATTGCCATGGTTACCAATAAGGAGATCTGAAGTTTGATTGTATACGAAGCTGGTTATATGTTAAATGCTTCAACACATTGAGTTTATCAGTTTAAATTTTACTTAAACCACAAAAATAATACAGGGTTGTTAATGGTCACTGTTGGTGTTAGATGCAAGGCAACATGGCAAACTTATGATCTTGAACTATGGTTTTGTTGTTTGTTTGGAAACTGAAGAGACAGGCTGGTCGATAGACAGGAACAATATATATCTCATGGTACCTACTAAATGCCATTACATATTTATATCTGAACATTAACTACCACACTGTGTACGATTTAATCCATAATGATTGACATGTAAATAGGGTTATTGAAAACGTTTCACTGGCCAACATACGGAATTGAACGTTGTAATATTCCAAAATTAATATTCCACAGGATTAATTTCTGTATAGAGACCTGGCGAACCACAGTTCCCTGTTAGAGAGAGACCAGCGTGACTACTTGCCTACTCCATACGTGTGTTGGTGGAAATGTGCCGAAGACAAGGGTTTGAGTCCCAATATGGATACAATGTGTGAAGCCCATCTCTGGTGTCTCCTGTGGTGATATTGCTGGAATCAAAGCCTTGTGAAACCACTTTCACTCACTTATAATATTGTTTTCAATCATATAAAAATCCCTATTCACTCAAATCCAGGCCCTTTAAAAAATGACCGGTTAATCATATCCACATAATAGCCCTTACAAAGATACGGGAATCATTGCAAATTCATTTGCATTGACGCAAAACAATTTCCAAGCTAGTATCTGTTTATAGCAAAACCAACATGAAAGTAAATAAGTAAATGAGATTTTACCTTATCCATTTAAATACACACGACTGACATCTCACATTAAGAAACTAAATCGTCTTTATCTTCAAATCAAACCTGAATGTTTATCTTACAATGCTATCTTAAACATCGCAAGTTCTTTAACTGACCCAAATCAACGTCCAAGCAAATGGTCTTTCATGACACTGAAATGAAGGTATATATACGGACGTAAGTGTACCCCAGCGATTCAAGACATTCAAGACTGACGACCTCGTCAAGACCCGAGAGCATGAGGATCTGCTACCAACAAGGATCGCAATGGAATACCGACAAACAAGAGAGGGAAATAAACACCCCTGAGTGAAGACGCATGTTTGCTGTTTACAAAGGTAATGATCAAACACGAAGGCAGTACGTCGGTTAGCCCTCCTGGTGGGCTGCAACCATGAAGCTGACGTATGAGGTTAATTTCCTCCGTGAGAGGTGTTTGGTAACGGCCGGAGTTCCTGGCTTTCAATCTGAAGGCTGGACATACCGTTTCGACTTTCTGTACAGATCGGATATTGTCACAGCGGTACCTTTATGGATACTGACAGTAATCAGAATTTGTTTGCCAGATATAAATATAGAGATACTACCGCGGGCATCTGACCTACTTGGTCTCTGGCACAACGCCATGCTCTTTCGCTGCCGGGCCAAGGATGGCGAGTTTATCAAAGATTATATTCATAAAAAATACAGTGGTTAATCGTAATGAATAAATAAGTACACACAAAACAACTTTTATGACTATAAATGATTAAGAATGGAAACCCTCGAGTATTAATTGAATGTTTATGCCACTTAGGACATTATTCCAGTTATATCACGGTGTGTCAGCTTAATGTGAGGAAAGACCGAAGTGTGATCCAGGTCTCAGACGTTTACCACTTTGGTGCAATCCACGAGCGCAAGTATGATACTGGAATCAAGAAATATAATCAGGTTGAAACGCCGAGTATTAAGGAACCTTGAAGTCTCGTAATTCCCGGAGCTAATCAGGGGGCGAGTATCGGGCTGCAAGAGATTAGAATGGGGTAGGAGTGGAGTGGGTAATGTTCTGTTATACATGTTGTCTACGTGTTAATAAATCCACCAGTTAACGATACCCCTAATTACACCGATATAATGTCTCAGTTTCACACAAGGTACTGCACACCCGGGAAGATCCGGAGTAGAACAGGTCTTCAGCATCACATCCTTGCCGTAAAAGGCAATTATGCTTGTCGTAAGAGGCAACTAACGGGATCGGGTGGTCAGGCTCGCTGACTTGGTTAATGCATGTCATCATATCCTAATTGCGTAGATCGATGTTAATGATGTCAACCACTGGATTGTCTGGTCCAGACTCAATTATTGACAGAGCGCCGCCATATAGCTGTAATTTTGCTGAGTGCGGCGTTAAACAACAAACAAACAAACAAACACCAACAAGGTACTGCATGTATCACGTCTAGAGCTAGACTGGAATGGGGAACCAGACCATGCTAACAGTGCCACTTGCAGTAACTTGTTTAGCCCCTGACAAAGACACACGACGTGCATGGGGCCAATAGGATTACAAGGGGATAGAGGTTTGTTAAATCAAACTTCAAAGTGACTGGATGGAAGCCAAACTAGATTTTTAATGTTAAAATCCATACTGGATCTGTGTATATATAGAACGAAAGCCAAATTAGGTACTCGTATACATTTTAGGGTTTCGTTAACGTAAGAGGAACGTCGTTCTTCCACATCCATAAGGGTGAGTGAGTGAGTGAGTGAGTATGGTATTACGCCACTTTTAGCAATATTCCAGCAGTATCACGGAAATGAGCTTCACACAATGCTATCCCCACGCCCCAAATCCATTATGACACAAACACTTCCCCACTTACAAGTAATGTGAAACAATTATCTGGACTTCATTGTAACGTCAGAGGACACGTAATCCATCATCTGCTACAGCATCAACAGGAACGTGCTATTTGCCCATACAGTAAAAAAATTGACGTCGTTAGTCTTGATTCCCATCTTTTCTTAAAAGAACTGATTTGTTTTTTAAAACATCTCTGATTTTGCATTATGAAACTGAAGGACGAATAGTAGTGTTTATGAGTCATGTTATGATGTTTTACTCCTCGCTGAATTAATTCGGAATCATGAGAGAGAGAGAGAGAGAGAGAGAGAGAGAGAGAGAGAGAGAGAGAATTGTTCTGCGAAGGATATATTCTCAGAATATGTGAGAGGTAGGTCTTAGGTATTGTTTTTGCAGAATATGTACAAATCACTTTCTGTCAATAATAGTGAAAATGTAAAAATATGTTAATTGATGTTTTCTGGAATCTTCATCTGTATATCCTTGGTTGTTTCATAACCTTTAAGAACGTCTATAACGTCTTATTGAGCTAAGTTTCCTTACTCAATAGATTTTCAAGATGTCATTATATTTACCAAATAAAGAAGTCAAAAGATAGTTAGTTCTTTTAGCACATTTGAAGAGCTTCACGCACTGACACCATTTAAAGAAAGATACCTCTAAACCAAGTTTTTTTTTATAATGCTTCAAGATCGTATCTGTCAATTTATTTTGATTGAAGAAGTTCACATTGTTGAACTGAGTGAGTTGGGTTTAACGCCGCTTTAAACAGCATTCCAGTTTTATCAAGGCGAATCAGCTTCGGGAGGAATGCAGGATACAACTTTGGTGAAACCCTCAAGCACGGGTTTAGTGCTAACAAACACATTCTTGAAGATTAAGTTTGGCTACATCATGGTTACCAATGTAGAACATACTTCAGTCACTTATATACAACGCACATGATAACCTGGTGTTGTCATTAGTAGTGGTTCAACTTATAAATCATTATTATTATTATCAGCTCATTATAAAAACCTTACTTGTCTGTCCTTCAGAAGAAAATATTCGAATAATATTATATTATTATATTTATAGAATTATGCTATCAGTTGAGTTGTACTGGCATACACTATGGGTAGCTATGAATAAATTCTTGATCATTTCACAAAGAACATACTCCATGAATTAGTCAGAGAATCGGGTTTTACACAATCGTCGTGGTGTGGTCGATCAACAGATATGAGCGCTACGATCGTGGTAAGTGTAAGCTTAAACTTCGGAGTGAAACAACTCGTAGGATTAACATTGTTTTGTAGAACGGGCCTTGTCCACAATGTGTTCCCGTGAGAGCCGTCGTTGAACGAAGACACGTTACCAGCAAGGTGACAGCTGCATGTAGGTTTTGGTCACCGTTTCAAGAACTACCAATTGACAACGACCATTGTCGACATTGATGTTTTCGTCCGTAAATCGACATCGTACACACGCATGGTGTGGTTAGCATACGTGGTCCCCGGAGTCGAGACTCCGCGGGCCACGTTGGGAGCTTCTTGGAACTACGTGTACTTACAGTCCTCTGCGATCATCTTGATGCACTGTGTGCCGGGGAACTGGCCTATCCTGCCCTTCCTGGATGCCCAGCAATTCTCAATATAGTACTTTCCGGTGTTATTAAAGGTATCCTCACAGTCAACATTGCTGTGGTTTATAGATGTACACGCAAAACACCCAATGCCTTCACCTGAAACAGAAGACAGACCATCAGTATACGATTTGAACGAGTAGTGAGTGAGTGAGTTGGGTTTAACGCCGCTTTTAACAATATTCCAGTTACATCACGGCGTGTCAGCTTAATGTGGGAGGAAAGCCCGAAGTGATGCAGGTCTCAGACGTTTACCACTTCGGTGAAACCCACGAGCACGGGTATGGTGCTGACAAACCTAGAAACATAATTGGGGCGAACCGGGATTCGAACCCACAATCAAAGGTTTCTGGCGTGCCCAAGGGACGCAATTCTGCACAGCGAATCGCGGCGCCTTAGACGACTGGGCCACCCGTGCCCCCGATTTGAAGGAGTAAAATACCACCAACATACAGTAATTTTCTCTGATATCAACCAGACAGCCTATCGGAATCACATTAAGTTTGTTTGTTTGTTTGTTATTTTACGCCGCACTCAGCAATATTCCAGCTATGTGACGGTGATCTGTAAAAAAGCAAGTCTGGACCAGACAATCTAGTGATTGATATTATGAGCATTTGATCTACGCAATTGGGATCGATGACATGCATCAACCAAGTCAGCGAGCCTGACCACCCGATCCCGTTAGTCGCCTCTTACGACAAGCATAGTCGCTAATCACATTAAGATCGGCACTTGATATTGCATGACACAGTAATACTGGGTTTTGCGATTTCATTCATTGACGTCTTGTTTTGATATGGCACACTCACTGGGTGTAAAGTTAAACATTGTCATCATTATCTAGGGTGTCAGGGGCACGGGTGGCCCAGTCGTCTAAGGCGCTGTGCAGAGTTGCGTCCCTTGGGCACGCCAGAAACCTATGATTGTGAGTTCGAATCCCGGTTCGCCCCGATTATGTTTCTAGCTTGGTCAGCACCATACCCGTGCTCGTGGGTTTCACCGAAGTGGTAAACGTCTGAGACCTGCATCACTTCGGGCTTTCCTCCCACATTAAGCTGACACGCCGGGATATAACTGGAATAATGTTAAAAGCGGCGTAAAACCCAACTCACTCACTCACTCACTCTAGGGTGTCATGTTATGCCATCGCACAATATCACTTGGTGTTTCAAGTTACACATTGTCCTGAAATAAATAATGTAACTACCCGAAAATATCTTTTGCAACCTAAACACATATGATTGTACTATGTCGTTATATGAGGGGGTTACACCATCGACAAACGACAGTAGCACAATGACTGAAGTGCAAACCGTTGCTAAAATGACAACGAGAAACATTTCAATTTCCTGCTCATTACATGTAAGTGTTATTAGCCGTATGTAGATTTACCAAACAGTTATCTTTTGGGTTAAATGCTCATGCTAAGGATGCGTACACATTGGTTGCCACATACAATTAAAGTATAACGAAGACTTCACGAGTTAATAATACAGTTATATGTGTAGGAGAAACCATGTCTCCGAGGGATTACTAGAGATTGTAAACCCTCACATGAGGGAACGTCCCGCGGGGGCCGTAGGGCCACGATGGACGTTCCCGAATGTGAGGGTTTATAATCGAGTTACACAAACAGAAAGTAGGTTTATAAGTGTACGTTTACTGCCCTAGCCTCTATACACAAGGTGCACGCTCAAAGCCCTAACATTATTACCCCAGTCAATGGATCAGCATGCACTCGTGCATTCTCAGCTCCCTGGGAAGAATACAACCTACGCTGACTTGTCAGGCGCTGAAGGTTGAAGGTCACATTTTACCGTGTACCATTTTTACTGCTGGGTGAACAGAGGCTTATTTATTAAAATCACTTGCCTCAGGAGAAACCACATATGCTTCAGCATCGGGCAGGACCGGAACCCTAGAAGTTCTCGCAGTCACCCATCCAACTACTCTCCGCGACCTGGCTTTCTATCTTCACCTGATGTGTTGCGCTGCGCACAGAACCACGTGCCATCACCATATTCTGTGGAACTGGATAGAAATGTTTCACTACTGCTACTAAACGGTTACGGAACCATAACCACACTCATCTCTATGTTCAACTTGGGACAACCAGATGAATCTCCATCTTTACATTGACTGACGCCAAATGCTGTATGATGGAGCTTGTTATGGCGTTACTTCATAGATGCTGTCATGAGCAGCCTTCCTCTCTGAACAATAAATATAAATTAAGGTAGACAACTATTATCACAGATACTGCTACCTACGAGTCAGCCATGGTTACGGTACACTACTGTTGGTTAATCATTCGTACAATAAAAGCATAAAACCTCCATAACTAAAATACCATGCCTGCATATTCAAAATACTACATAGCGACTATCGATGTGTTGTTCAAACAGTATTTCATAACTTCAATGAAATTTCGTACTTCAAGTTTCTGCTGCGAAAATGTTCTCAGAAAGGTAATCGAGAAAAAAACATTACACAAGTTCGTTAGTGTGTTCCTTAGAACTGATTGGTTTTTATCACCAAAAACGTGCGTTCATTTAATTTACTGAACAGTAAACCGATATAGCATTTTTTCACATTCTGTACTTGCAGGAAAGCAGATTAAGTTTGTCACAAACACGCAAAAAAGTGACCTCTATCAAAGACATCGTCTTGATTACATTTTTCCGTTTGAAAGATAATTCGCCTCACGAACGAAACCAATATCCCATGTTGTTTCGGGAGAGGAAAATAGAATGTGAAGAATGATGCCATAGTGTGTAACAAACAGATTATTTCGGTCTGGTTAGGTCATCATGGCAAACACAATAAACCCCTGAATCAAAGACACACCTTCTGAAATATTCATTTTGGTTATAGATGAAAGAATATGTTTCTGCGTTATTGAATAAATGTAATGGGAAAATGCAATTTTGAAAAAAAAAGACAACTAATGCTTAAGATTGACAATTCTTTTGGGAAGTGGACCTCCGCCGTACTGTGATTGTAAAATTTATTTTTTTAATAATTAACATGCCAATACAATAGGAACGTGTTTAAACTGGAAGGATGTTCAGTGTCAAAGCGATTCGTTTTGTAACTAGTGTTAAAGACAAGCTTGTGGATTAACCACGATTGTGTATATTTGTTTATTATGTATTGTAGCATGCTGGATTACCCTCATTATTTCAGGGGGCAGGGGTGGCCCAGTCGTCTAAGGCGCCGCAATTCGCTGTGCAGAGTTGCGTCCCTTGGGTACGCCAGAAACCTATGATTGTGGGTTCGAATCCCGGTTCGCCCCAATTATGTTTCTAGGTTTGTCAGCACCATACCCGTGCTCGTGGGTTTCACCGAAGTGGTAAACGTCTGAGACCTGCGTCACTTCGGGCTTTTCTCCGACGAAAAGCTGACACGCCGTGACATGACTGGAATGCTGTTAAAAGCGGCGTTAAACCCGACTCACTCACACACACATTAGTTACGAAGCCACAATCTGCTGTGCAAAGTTGTGTCCCTTAGATATACACAGAACTGGCCCAGGCTTTGATAAACCTTTGGATTAAATTCTAGCAGAATCACTCGAAGGACACCAAAAATTGGATTTGTACCGCTGTGTAGCATTGACGGCATGACGAGCAAACGCTTTTACCACAAGGCTACCCAACGGCTAGACTAACATATTGTCTATGAAATCTTTTTTGTACACAAAACATTTCCCTCCGCCAAATACTTTTCCTGATGCTTATTGAGATAATGTTGGCTAGACTAGCTTTATATAAATCTAAATGTTGTGTTCATATAATATTTAAAAAAACCATGTATTTTACAGTCATGGTGCAGGACTACCCATCGCCTCCAGATGAACTCAATTCTAAAATTGATTTATGGCTTAAAAGTGACTCCATGCATCTTTTTAAACTGACACATGCTACGAAACACATATGACAGACAGACTAAGATAAAAATCCATCTGAACATGCTGGGTCTATTTCCGAGAAAGAGGAAGTCACGTGACAAACCAGTATGATACGAGACTCCTGCATCTTAATTGTGATATAGTACGCGCAAAGCGTGGACCAACAGGGCGACCAGTTAGCGATGGTGGCATTCTCACACTTGGCATTTTATTACCCACAAGTCACAGCAACTTCCTCCCTCAAATTCCATATTGATTTTCTAACTCTACAGCGGCCTGCTGCTAAAAATAGCCTAAAACTGTCGATGAGATGTCAGATAGAAACATTGTTCAGTATGGAGGCTTGTGGTTCTCAGATTCACTTTACGATGTGGTTTTTTTTGGAGAACAATTTCACCCATAATGCATTAAAAAAATTCTAATAAAGAAACTTATTTCCATAATATGCTGTTATCCAAGAGTTAATGAATTTGTTTATTTTGTCTTCAAAAACCTGATCTATGTATAGCACTGCATGTTTTACAAACAGCCTGAGGATAAACGCTTTAGCTCATTGGGCCAAAGGCCCGGGTTCGAACCCAGGCAGGTCCAATATGAAGCACAATCCCAATGTATGCATTGGGATACTAGTAACTACAAGTAGTTGGTAGTAACAACAACCAACAATTCACCAGTCCACAGTTGGTTTCTTGGGTTGGCGGTGTTTGTTATTTTACTGTTTCCCCTTGACTTTTCTCTTGCAACAAGCGAATATCAACTTTGGATATAACGTTCTCAAAAGAATCAACAAAGTTTGTTCGTCCCATCGTTAATAGGATATTACGTCATTCACAAAGCGGATATCTGTCAAATGGCTCTTGTATAGTCAGTCCACTCGATACAGTTGTAGTGATTAAACACTCGAGTTAACATGGTCATGATTAGACTCGGGATATCACGGGATTCTAAATGAGTGTACCTATGAACAAATATTACAACTGCCCAGGAATGATGACTGACCTATAGATGATACGGAGGATTAATGAGGAGATACTAGATAGATTGATGCAACATAGATGATCTGGAGGATTAATGAGTAGATAGATTGATGCTATATAGATGACCTGGAGAATTGATGGACAGATAGATAATTGTTACACAGATAATCTGGAGGATTAATGGGCAGATAGTTTGATGTTACGGAGAG